ACTTAGAAAATTCTCAATAAATTCTCAGTAAATTTTCAGTAAATTACTAATTTAATTCCCAAGAAATTCTCAGTAAATTATTCAGTAAATTCTCAATTGATTACTCAGTAAATTCCTAGTAAATCCTCAGTAAATTATTTAGAAAATGTGAAGTAAATTTTTCATAATTTCACGGTAAATTACACAATAAAATCTCAGTAAATTACTCATTGAATTCTCAGTAAATTACTCAAAACATTACCCAGTATATTGGTAAATAAATTACTCAGTAAATTCTCATTAAATTACTCAGTAAATTCTCAGAAAATTCTCAGTAAATTATAAAGTAAATTACTTAGAAATTATCAATAAATTCTCAGTAAATTTTCAGTAAATTACTTATTAAATTCTCAGTAAAGTACTAAGTAAATTTCCAAGAAATTCTCAGTAAATTATTCAATAAATTCTCAATTAATTACTCAGTAAACTCCTAGTAAATCGTCTGTAAATTATTTAGAAAATTCGAAGTAAATTTCTCATAATTTCACAGTAAATTACTCAATCAAATCTCAGTAAATTACTCACTGAATTCTCAGTAAATTACTCAGAATATTACCCAGTAAATTGGTAAGCAAAATACTCAGTAAATTTAGAGTAAATCACTCAATAAATTCAGAGTAAATTACTCGGTAAATTACACAGTAAATTCTAATTAAATTACTCAATAAATTCCCCGAAAATTGTCAGTAAATTATAAAGTAAATTACTTAGAAAATTGACAATAAATTCCCAGTAAATTCTCAGTAAATTACTAATTAAATTCCCAAGAAATTCTCAGTAAATTATTCAGTAAATTCTCAATTAATTACTCAGTAAATTCCTAGTAAATCCTCAGTAAATTATTTAGAAAATTCAAAGTAAATTTTTCATAATTTCACGGTAAATTACTCAATAAAATCTCAGTAAATTACTCAGAACATTACCCAGTAAATTGCTAAGTAACTCAGTAAATTCCGAGTAAATCACTCAGTAAATTCCCAGTAAATTACTCGGTAAATTCTAATTAAATCACTCAGTAACTTCCCAGAAAATTCTCAGTAAATTATAAAGTAAATTACTTAAAAAATTCTCAATAAATTCTCATAAAATTACTTAGTAAATTCTCAGTAAATTATTCTGTAAATTCTCAATTAATTACTCAGTAAATTCCTAGTAAATCCTCTGTAAATTATTTAGAAAATTTGATGTAAATTTTTCATAATTTCACAGTAAATTACTCAATAAAAATCTCAATAAATTACTCGTTGAATTCTTAGAAAATTATTCAGAACATTACCCAGTAAATTGCTAAGTAAATTACTCAGTAAATTCCGAGTAAATCACTCAGTAATTTCCCAGTAAATTACTCGGTAAATTACACAGTAAATTCTCATTAAATTACTCAGTAAATTCCCAGTAAATTATAAAGTAAATTTGTCACGACCCCAAACCGCCCCTAGTAGTTTGGTGCCGTGATGGCCAGTAATCCGAGGTTACCGAAAGCCAACTTTCAAAATTCACACACAATCAGAGTATAGATATAGGGGGCTCACAAGTGCGGAAGCAATAATCTAAAATACAAGTGGTCCACAAGAGCAGTGCATAAGTCAAATGAAATGGCATACATCTTTACATAGCTTTACAACTTGAATACAAATAGAAATGAAGTACAAAAATACATATTACATCTTGGTAAAAGGCTTCTCAAGCCGACATGTTCAAAATACATAAGCTTCAAAATTGCCGACATAAACAAAATACATGAAATACAAGTCAAGATACATAATATTCAGGATTGCCGACATCAACATTGCCGACATAACATGCATCCAAAACATCTTGCAAAACACACATCTCATCGTAGCCAACTTCTTGCTTGCTACCTACATACATACATAGGGAGGGTGAGCTTGGATACTCAGTGAATGGTATAAGTAATAAAGGGGTTGAATGAATGATTCCCGAGGTCCTTGTCAAAACAATACACATAGCATAGCTTGTTCAAAACATGCACTTGGCATAACTTGTATCAAAACATGGGATGAAGCAAGTTCATCAAACTTGATCTTACAAAACTTACTTACATACTTAACATACGTCAAACCTTAAAACATGGGGTGATGACATTTCGGCAAAACAAAAGCATAACCTCAGCATAACCTTGGTCCTTCAAAACTTACTTGCTTACTTACAAGACCCACGCGGTAAACCGTCAGTGGCAAAACAAGGCAAAGCAAGGGAGATATCCCAAACAAGGGTGCTGCGAAAGTTTAGAGTCCTCCAACACAAGGGACCTATGTTACAAGGGCCCGTAGCCCTTTAACACTTGGGTGCTGCACAAGTTTAGAGTCCTCCAGCACAAAGGACTTTCCGAGAATGTCGTCAAAACAAAGCTTACTTGATACATTGCCATTCAAAACAAAGCTTATACTTGATACATAAAATAGGGATATCATTCATGCTTAACAAATACTTTTATCAAAACAAGGCAAAGCTTTATCAAATCCTTAAGAACATAACTTTATTAAAAATACCACTCACATTAGTTCTTGGGACGTCGGGATCAAGGCAAGGGTCCAAGTCCTACAAACACATAGCAAAGCATACTGAACATACTTCTCAAAACAAGTCTTACATGCATGCAAATGATCTTGGGGAAACATACTGGAAGTCAAAACACTGTTTTACATGTCAGGGAGACATGCTGGGTACCAACCAGGTCTTTGCCGAGGTCCCACACCTTCTGGCTGAGGTGTGGCTACCCTGGCTTCGGCAAGCGGCTGCATGCCGAGTGTGTGCAAGACAAACTAAAGGTGTAAGTGATCATGCAAGGTAGGCCAAGGTGAGATACGATACTTGGCCTAAGTGTGAGGTCTAGGTAAGAGTGATCTCGGTGACTACACCTCGGGAAGTGAGGTCTGGAGATCTGGGTTTCCACCCATGAAGAATAGGAAGAACATGAACATGAAGATCATGATAACATGGATGCCAAAATCATAACTTCTTTATTGCAAAAATCTGGGATTTCATGCTATGAGTTCGAAAACATGGACCTGGGTACCCATACTCGAAAATCATGTGAAAACAAACACAAAACACGGATCTAGGCATGAACTTTTGGATCAAAACATGACTTTTCTTGAAGAACACATGAATGCTATTTCTCTTTCTAAAACCGAACTTCAAAGCAATACATGGCTTACAAATCATATTCAATCATGCAATGCAATATCATAAACATAAGGAATTAACATGCACAGATCAAGAATCTAACCTTAGAACACAGATCTAAGGTTCGATCTTTAGGGATCAAGCTTGGAAATTTTCTCTCCCTCAAGAACTCCTCTCCCTCTTCTAGAGCTTCTCTCTCTGCTCTTCAAAACAAGTATAGAAACAAATCATGGGTTTCTCTCTCTGCCGGCTGACTTAACTCTCAGCTCGGACACATGGCAACGGCTGGTTAGTTCTCTTCAAAAAGGTGATAGATTGACAAGACAAGATTATGACAAAGCGTATCTAACAAGCTACTCGGTAAGGCACTCCGGCAAGTGATGACATCGGCTTAGGACAAAGCTTCGGCAACTAAGGTGATAAGGACCTCGGCTAGGAAGGACAACAGTTGACTAAGCTGTGCCACACCTTGGCCTAGATGTGCCACACCTCGGTCTAGGTCATACCATTCCAGGACAAGATCGCTTGGGTGCAAAGGTAACATCTCGGCCTACATAATACACATCTCGGCCTTGGTGATTAACACCTCGGCCTAGATAATGACATCTCGACCAATATGTCAAAGCAAAGGTGGAGGTCAGACAAAGGGGTTCCAAGATACTTCTAGACTAAAGATGACCTCGGCTTGGAATGATCTAGGCGTAACATAACTTAGGCTTGGCATGACTTCGGCTTAACATAACTTAGGCTTAACATAGCAGGGAAGGGCAAAGCATGCAAGCAACACTTAGACATAACACATAAAACACAAAGCAAGACGAGATTCATGAATGCAAACTTAACAAGACAAAGTTATGTAAATGAACATGAACATGACTACAACATGAATATGGGTTGCTACAGCAATCTTAACATGGCAAAACATATAAATGCATGCAAACATGACTAAGCCATAAATGTGGGTTGTTACAAAATTACTTAGAAAATTCTCAGTAAATTACTTAGTAAATTCACTGTAAATTACTAATTAAATTCCCAAGAAATTCTACGTAAATTATTTAGTAAATTCCCAATTAATTACTTAGTAAATTCCTTGTAAATCCGCAGTAAATTATTTAGAAAATTCGAAATAAATTTTTCATAATCTCACGGTAAATTACTGAATAAAATCTCAGTAAATTACCCATTGAATTCTCAATAAATTACTTAGAACATTACCCAGTAAATTGCTAAGTAAATTACTTAGTAAATTCTGAGTAAATCACTCAGTAAATTTCGTGTAAATTACTCGGTAAATTACTCAGTAAATTCTCATTAAATTACTCAGTAAATTCCTAGAAAATTCCCAGTAAATTATAAAATAAATTACTTAGAAAATTTTCTATAAATTCTCAGTAAATTACTAATTAAATTCCCAAGAAATTCTCAGTAAATTATTTAGTAAATTCTCAATTAATTACTCAGTAAATTCCTAGTAAATCCTCCGTAAACTATTTAGAAAATTTGAAGTAAATTTTTCATAATTTCATGGTAAATTACTCAATAAAATCTCAGTAAATTACTCATTGAATTCTTAGTAAATTACTCATAACATTACCCAGTAAATTGCTAAGTAAATTACTCAGGAAATTTCAAGTAAATCACTCAGTAAATTCCCAGTAAATTACTCAGTAAATTCTCATTAAATTTTATAAGGCTAATCTCTTCTGAGCTAAGAACACCATCAAAGTTATGAACCTTTTCTGAGCTTTTCTTGTTGTACTCCTCTCATTTTATGGAGTTGTGGTTGCCAGAAAAACTTCTATTTATTGTCATTGCCAAATAAATGGTTGCCAAGGGTTTTTAAGATTTTGAGAGTGAGTAGGTTTTGAAGGTTGGATTTGGGGAAGATGGATAGATGGTGATGGAGGTGGGTGCTCTCACAAACCCTAATTCACGATGTAGTGGGTGTGTGGGCTTAATTGTGAGATGGAGTTTTTCAAAATTATTGATGTCCTTTTTAATAATTTTATTTGAGATTATTATTATAAGAAAAAATAAAACAAAAAATGAGATATCCAAAATAGTTGATGGGATACTAATAGCAACATTCAATGGGTAAAAATGACGTACCCTTTTACATATTTCTTTCTAATCTCTTCTTCATTCTCTCTCTTCTGTAAACCTTAACCCACTTGCAAACCCTATACCACTATTGGTTAGCTCCAAAATCTAGCATCGATAGCTCTTCTCTCACCCCTTCACGCTGTTGTTAGCCTCTACCCTCTTTTGTCCTCCGTTACCTCTTACAGTTCATCTCCACCCTCTCCAATCCCCAATTCGAAGCCCTTATTGCCTTGCCTTCCCCTACATTTGTCCCTCTCTGCATGGTGTGACTCTAGCTCTCGCAATGACAACCAGTTATGACGTTGGTACTAGATCACGAAGAAGACCAAATTGCCAAAACCCTAAACCAAATCATAATCACAATCATAATCATAATCATAATCATAATCACATGGAAAGGAGAAAAGGTTGAAGGGTATTTTTATAATTTCATATATTTTCATGGCCATTTTGCAATTACTTTGAATCCAACTTTGTTTTTGCAATTGTTTTTTGGTCTTCCCATTTTTGTTTCCCCCAAGTCTCCCTTGTGATGATATCTTAAACCTTTCTCAGAAGGAAAAAGGTCATTAAGTGCAATATATTTATATTTATAATTATTGCATGACAGTTCTCGTGCAAGTGTCATGATGGGGTAGATACACATGCAACAACAATGTCAGTGTTGAAAATGTTAACGAGCTATTCATGGGAGGCCAAAATGGTGCTAGCCTTGGCTGCATTCGCGGTGAGTTACGGAGAATTCTGGCTTGTTGCTCAGTTCCAAACCTCGAGCCAACTTGCCAAATCGGTGGGAGTCCTCAAGCAAGTGCATTTCATCTTGGAGAAATCAAACATATCGAAACCCCAATTTGATGAAATCAAAAGTCTTCTAAAAGACTTGCTAGCCATTACCAAGTGCGTCGTTGAGTTTATGGACCTTTCATCTCGGTACACGACCACCACGACAGATCTACTAGATATGTCCACTGTCGTTTCCCATATCGCCACTGCTACCTATTGGACTATCAGAAGTGCTGTAGCTTGTGCTTTTCAAATTGCTAGCCTTATGGGGATTGACCATGAGTACGTTTCATTTTCATTTGAAAAAAAATAAAATAATAATAATTAATTTATTTTTTTGACTTATAATCGAGTAATATTTCAGGCACAGAGTAGGAGCTATGGAGGGTTGGGAACTACCACACTTGGCTCGTAAAATCAGCAACGAACACAACCAGCTCTCTTTTCATCTGAATACCTTCAACAAACGCATCGGTGAGAGAGAGCATATAATGTTTTTTTTTTACTTTTTGATTCTTTATATATGGGCCGATCGAAGAACACTAATTAATTTTTAATGCAGACGAAAAGAAGCAAAAGGATATGTATGAATTGCTTGTAGAATTGTTTAAAACGCCTCAACTTGAAAACATGACGGTTTTCAAGGTATTTTTTAGTACTAGGGACGGTTTAATAAAACTTCTCGATGGTTCTGATGCTAGAAAGATAAGGGTATGTGCTCTTGATCTTTTTTTTTTTTTTTTTTGTAATTTTTTATTTCATTAGTAGTGATTTAGTGATACCAAATTAGTGGTACCAACCAATACTGTAATCATTAATGGAAGAAAAATGCTTGGGAGCACTAATTACTGCTCCCACTACTTAGGTGGCAGTGGGTCCCGCCATTAATGATGTGATGTTTTGGTCTTAGAGTTGTATTTTTTTTTTTTAAATTTTTTAATGCATTAGTGCTATTAGTGATGATGTTTTTAGTGGGATGAATCATTGTTGTTAATGGAATCAGGTTAAATTCAGAAAAATGGTTCAGTTAGCCTAGGCGTGCGTGCCAAAAATGAATGTATTGTTTTAGAGATAAAGCCTAGAAAACTAATTGGCTCCCCAGTATCCAATCAAACTAGAGAGGTATTATTGGGTTTATGGGTTTATTTTTGAGATCCATTACGATAACTGAGTTATTTATATTTTGGGATTTGTTAAATATATTATTTTTGATAAAAAATTAAGTTAATTGGATAATAAAAATCATGTATTCAGATCAATTTTGTATGAAAAATTGAATGGTAAGAAAATAAACCGTTCATACAAAATTAATCCAAATATACAATTTTCATTATTCAACCGATTTGATTTTCTGCGAAGATGATATATTTGACAAATTCTAAAATGTGAATGATTCGAATTATCAAAGTGAAACCCAAAAACTAACTCATTAGATCGAACTGGATTTTCTAGTCTAATGAAGGACTAGAGGCAGTCCAGTTCCAAAACTAGAAAAGTAAAAAGTTCACTACTTTGAAAAAAAAAAAAAAGAAAAAAAAGAAAAAAAAAAGATAATTATTAAAAAGTCCAATATAATAATTATCTAAGGCATTAGATTGTTAATAAGAGATCTATTATTTGCGAAATAGTTTGCTCAAAAGTCTTTTTTATTATATTGTAGGATATTTTATTTCTAATTTTATCTTTTAATCTATCTGTTTAAATTTTGTTGAATTTTTTTTTTATCTATTCAATTGTTTTGAACTTATCTGTTGATTTTTTGTGTTTTTTTTTTATAAAAAAAAAAAAATCTATCTATTATTTATATTATTTTTTTGGAATATATCTACTACAACTTAAAAAAGCTGAAGAATTATGAGTGTTTTGTACATTTTCATTTTTCACAAATGCCCTTATTAAAATAAGAAAATTACTTATTTACTTGTTTCATACTTCCAATAAGGAAAATTATACAATAGTCCTGAAATAACAATTGGCAACAATGATTCATCCCACTAAAAACATCACCACTAATAGCACTAATACATTAAAAAAGTAAAAAAAAAAAAAAAAAACACAACTCTAAGACCAAAACATCACATCATTAATGGCGAGACCCACTGCCACCTAATTAGTGGGAGCACTAATTAGTGCTCCCAAGCATTTTTCAACAATTGGCCATACTCTCTTACAAATCACCATTCATTATGTCGTTCATATTCTTCGGTCACCATTCACCCTGCCCCTTCCAACAGTTTCACGAGATTTTTGGAGGGTCTCAAGTTTCAACCCGTGGGTAACAACGTTTCCGAATGCATCTATTGAGGGTGCATTTTTGCTGTAGTTATGAAAGTTACAGTCGGCTACGGTTGCAATGCTATCTCCATTCAGCCTATGCCACGTTTCTGTGTTGCCACGTAAATTTGATGGAAAGAAAATGTCTGTCTCCAATTATCAACTTGACCCTTGACATCTCTCAAACACTGTTTCTCCTTGTTTCTCAATCATTATTTCTCTCAGAGTCTCCCTCTAACTAGTGATAAGATTTATTTTTCAAAGGCCTCTGTAAACTGAAAGCGAAGCATTCCTCCTACATCATCTCTTTTATCAGTTCTTCCCTTTAATTAAATCCCCATTCTATGTCAAGTTGAATTCAAACGTACCTATGTTTTAAGAAATCAGTCTGAAAATTCATTAATTAATTGATTCTATAAGCCAGATATTACGTTATTTCTCTTCTAACAAATATACATATCTAAATAAAACCCACATCAAGTTTCAACAACATGCATAAAATTTTCACATTTAATCAATTATAGTGACCCGGGATAAAACCCGATTGTGACACCCCAAAAGATTATTATTATTATTTTTTTTTGGGAACATCATAAGAAATTAAATAACAAAATAACTTATTAAATTGAAAATTTAACATCTTAATTGAAAATTTTCAATTTTCACACAACCAAAAGTTTAACACTAAATTTAAAAAATAAAATAAAATAAAATAATTTAAAAGTTCAAATACAACATTAAGCAACATTATAACATCCTTAATCATTAATACATAAAATAATAAAATTTTATTTTGCTAAAGTCATGGCTTCAAAATAGCCATGACTCTAATTTCAACTTCCACTTTTTCCTCGTCAAAATCTGACATAAAATGTTAGGGTAACAAAACATATGCCATGAGTTTTGTAATATAGTAAAAAAAACATAACAAATCTACCATTATTTTTAAGAGAAAATAATCAGATTAATAATCATGACCATTAAGAGAAAATAGCGAAATTAATAGAATAACAATATAATAACCATTAAAATAATTTTAACAATTTTAATAGTTTAGGCAACACTCAAAATTTCACCAAAGAGATTTTCTTACAAACTACTAAGTCAAGGCCACGATTAATTTAAAAACCCCCCATTGGTCAAATATTCAAGTGTTAATAACTGTAACTACCAAGGATATCCATACCCAGAGTTATATACCCAATCCGTAGCATCCGTTGTCTGCCCCAAGGGAATGGTCTGCCAGGAGTACGTAATCTCCCTGCGTGTCACTCGCACACCCACCCTTATCCTAAAATCAAATACCGATAAGGGTTCAAATAAGTCTCGTGTTATCTTAAGGTTTCACGACACAATTATGTAAAAGTTATCAAAAACCAGGGCTCATCTTGAACTATCGGTATTAACCCTCAATCGTTAATTTGGTACATGCCATTAATCATTTTAGTTAGTTTTTATACTAATTACATATAATTACAAATTTCAATCACTATAAGTGTTATACCATTTCATTAAAATTCTCAACAGAAAATATTACACATATGGTATACAATAATCAATCAATGTACAAAATTATAATAAATAGTAAATTAAATCATGATATGAAATGATAATTTTAGATACTTAAAAGTGAACCACAACCACACACATGCATGAACTACTAATTTACATGATTTAATTAATTGGACCAGCAAAATATTTATTTTTAGTCATAATAAATAATTGAAGTAATAATCTTTGTTCTTTCTTAATCTGCCCAAAAAATTTAAGAACATACTTTTCGTAATTAAAATTATAAATAAATTATTTATACAATTCTAAAATTCATGGAATTGCATGGAATATTCAGTAATATGTTATGGTCATTTTCCAGAAATAAATTCCCAAAAAGAAGTTATAAATAATTCTGTAAAATTTCAAGAAATTCCATGACACAAATTCATCACATTTTCTTAAAATAATTCCACACTTAAATTTATAAATCAATTCCATAATCTAAAAATTTATAATGAAGTTAGACTTCTTAAATTTCATTTTTTATTTATAAATTAAAAGATTTGGTTTAATATAAGATTTTTAATGATTTTTCAAACATGTAGTAAAATCTGTCTATAGTTTCAGATTTAATTAAAATTTTATACAAATTTGTACAACACTAGAATAATTGTTACAAAAATTCCTGAATTAAGTAGACATCATTCTTAACAATTTTCTAGAAGACATCATCTCAAAATTTTGAGTATAAAATTTGTCTAAGAATTCGAACAAGTTTCTTGAAAATTTAATAGTTATATAACCAAATCAAATTAATCTTTAATCATCTCTTGAATGGCACAAACTACACATGCAAGTTTATTTCCAAAATTTCACCATGATTTTAAGGCTACTACTAACCTTTAAATATTTGACATACAAATCACAAAATTTACATACAATTATAAATAAAATTCTATATACAATCATATGAACACAAATTTGAAAATTTCAACCAAAAAAAAAAAATAAAAAATGAAAGGGTTGAGAGGGTTTTCTTACTTAATAATAGGATTAAAATGGGGTGATGAAATGGTAGGGAAAATTATAAACTTCCTTGATCTTTTACTCTTTTTCTTCCTACTTAGCTTGCTCACATAATTTTTTTATTTGTGTTTTCTCCGATCAGAGAAGAATGCAAGCATATATATATATATATATATATATGAGTTCATCTTCTTCTTGATGCACGGCTATCTCTCTCTCTCTCTCTCTCTCTCTCTCTCTCTCATCATTTTAATAAGTTGTCACGACCCAAACCCGTCCCTATGGGTTTAGTACCGTAACCAGCCAGTAATCCTAAGATTACCAAAGGTCGTAGAAACTAATTAGAAAATTAAGGGCTAACAGAAGCAAATATCAAAAATATGATATCCATAGAGCTGTGCAGGCTAATATGAGACAAACAAATTTCAAAACTTTATATATATATATATATATATATTATGACGTCAACTTGCGTCATCCGTACAAATAATCAAAAGGGGATTTAGCCCTGCTACATCATACAAAAAGTTGTCCAAACCAAAACAAAAGAAATCAAAGACTTCAGACTGGTTCACAAATCTGACCACAACCATTTATCGAGAACCTCCTCGTGAGGCACAGTGGCTAGCTGACAGAACTGATCCAAACCGGAAGTCTCAAGCTTGGTCGCGTGCCTGGTCGCCTACATACATAATATAAATAATGAGCTGAAGCCCAGTGAATAATAACAGAGTAAATATTTATGAATGATGTCCATAACAGATTCAGAAATCAGAATTCAGATTAGAAACAGATTCATACACTTATTCAGACTTGCAAACAATCATATGTAGTACATCCATTAGCGTTAACAGATCAGATTGGTCATAAAGACTCATATACACATGAGATGGTCATGAAGACCCTAATACATATGAGATGGTCATAAAGACCCACTTACAAATCATATAGTGGATTATGTATAACCAGTT